ACCGCTAGTTGTTCACTCCCAATATGCATTTCCCTCTTCCTTATTGACAGAATTCCAGTTTTGCTGTACTGATGACACAACCAAGCCAAACAGTAGATTTTCCCAGCTTCCCTTCCAGTTGGAGTGGCTATGTGACATAGTTTCAGTCTATAAAATATAAGAATTCTACTGGGTGGAGTTTCCAGGAAAGATATTAATTAATAACAATAATTAATATTAAAAGGACCAACTCATCTGGTGCCTTGCTTTCTGCTGTTATGCAGGCTAAGCTCTCCAGTGAGACAAGCATGAACGCTACATACAAAGAACAATGGTTAAAGAAGAAAGAAGGAAACTATTCTGGATGACATTCTGGAATACCTTTTCTAGCTCCCAACTTCTCACATCCAGATCTCTAGTTACATGAGGGTGGGGGAAAAAAAAAAAGAAAAAGAAAAAAAGAAAAAAAAAACCTCTTTGCTTGTTTAAACCAGTTGTAGAAGGATTTTCTATTTCTTATAACTAAATGAAATTCTAGTGCCATCTCATACTTGTTCAAATGTTTATTTTACATGTATTCAACATGTTTTATTGAGTGCCTATTAGTGGGCACTGTGCTAGGAATCACTTAGGAGGCCACACAGACAAGGTGCTTTTACTTCACAGACCACAAAACAGTTGGAAGGATCTATAGGTAGGCAATGTCCCTAATTTATGATAGTTTAATTTAGTATTTTTTTAGCTTTCTGATGGAGCAAAAGTCAGACACATTCAGTAAAAACCATACTTCAGTTCTTTAATTTAATCTGCCCTGGACTAGTCATATACAATATGATCTTCTTGTTTGATGCCAGGCAGTGGCAGCCAATCACAGCTCCCTGTCAGCTACACGATCATAAAAGGAAACAACCATGCTCTACATTGTTCTGTGTTGCTAAACTAGGATGTTTGGAGGTTATGTGTAGTAAATGCGTTTAAAAAATTTTTTTTTTGTGTATATGGTGCTAGGGATTGAACCCAGGGCTTTGTGCATGCAAGGCAAGCATTCTGCCAACTGAGCTATATCCCCAGCCCAGTAAACACATTTTAGACTCATGATATTTTTCAATTTACAAGGTGTTCATGATGACATAACTCCATCATAAGTCAAGGAGCATGGGATTCAGGAAGACTATGGCTCAAACCAATAGACTTTAAATCAATAGAGTGAATCAAAATAGTTACTTGGTTTATATTCCCAAGGGACCACATGCCAGAAAGAGGAATAATATGAATTCTGGGAGACCTAGATTTTACCTGTAACTTTTTAGCGAATTAGATTTTGGGAAGCTGAATTGGCACCCCCTTTCTCCACAAAAAAGACTTAATTGGGCTTCTCCAGAAATCTTCACCCAAACTGATTTTAGGACTGTCAGCAAAAGAGTCTCTGCAAAAGAGTTCAATGTAGATAAACTTCCTATTTTTGTGTTGCCCTGTTTTACTTGGCCACTGGCCGAGAAGATACCAGCACTCCAGGTGCTGGACACCCCTTACTAGTTTTTCACAAACATATCCCAGTATAGTAGTTTGTAGAAATGTGCAAATAAGGCCTCTGGCCTTGAGCTGGAGCTTCACAGAGATGTCTATATTTTTAAGATAAGTTATAATTGGGATCCACGGTAACAGCTGGCAGGGGTAGAAAAAAAAGGGGAGAAGAAGCTCTCCCTTTTTCAGGTGTTGTCCTTGAAGTGTTAACTTGCCCAAAACAGTGAAAGAAAAAGCTGTTTTTATTTGAACTTCTGTAGACTGTGAACTTCCGAGCCCCTCCTCTCACATGCTGGGTATAAAACTCTAAAACTACCTGAACTCAGGGTTCAGGGGACTAATTGATTACAGCAAAAGCTGTGAACCTGACTGCTGCCAAATAAAACTGTTTCCTGCTATCTTCGGGGCCTTGCCTCCTTTGTCCCTAACAAAGCAACATGGAGTACTTACTAATTTTTCTGGAATCACCTTTTGAAAAAAAAATTTTTTTTTTTACTTGATAGTCTTTAAGTATACCTAGTTCTAAGATATTTTGTGATTACATTGAACAAAGATGGGCATGAAATGAACCAAAGTGTCTCTAAATTTAGGCTCTAAATTCAAGTCAGAGAATATATTAAATGTTGAGAAACAAATCACAAATCCCCATCACAAAATTAGACAAACAGCAAACATTGACAACAAAAATACCCTAGTGGGAGCAGTGGTATTCTGGAAGAAATTCTAGTTGGGGTCCTGGCTCAGCTATTTAATAAACTTGACAGCCCTGGGCCACATACACAATGCCTCTGTTTGCTCTTACAGGGCTGCTTATAGAAATCACTTTGCATACTGAAAGCCTCATTATGATTTGACTACCAGAAAGATACTGATAATGGCTTATAACATCTAGATTCTAGCAAGAGAAAGATTGTGGCCTCAATATGCATCACATGTAGGTGGCTGATAGATCTTTTGACTTTCTAGCCTCCCCAATAATGGGCCTTGTGTCTATCTAATTTTTATACAAGAGAATAGGTAAAAAGAAACAAAAAACAGCTAAAATTTAAGTGATCTCTTTTTGTTTGTTTCTAGTTCCAGTGAAGGTTTTG